AAACAACCAGGTGGGAACTGTTTGGAAAATGCAGCAAAACCCCAAACTCGGTGTAGCGGGAGGGTTTTTCGGGCAGGGCTGTTTTTGCGCTGACAACAACGTCATCGCTGGATAAAAGTCTGTTGTAAAGAGCTCGCTGCAGGTGTGGATGTGAAGAGTGGAAGGTGTGAAGGCTTCAAGCAAGAGGGTTTGTGTTTGCAGCCAGGACAGGCTGAGCGGGTTGTGTCAGGCAAAGTGATTGCGGGAGCGGCTGGAAATTCCAGTGGATAAAGTTAATAGCAGTTCCAATGGATGTGGAAATGGAAATAAAATAGCACCCTGTAACATTGCAGCTGCTTTCCCCAGCGTGGCCCCTGCCTCACTGTAAGTAACTGCCTTTGTAAAGCCGAGTGTTGCTCTCATCTTAAAAATACATGTTTTTTTCTCAGCGTAGCAGTCGTGTCTGTGCAGCGGGTTGTGTTGGGTTCCTGACAACTGCAGAGGTCTCAGAGCTGTCCTGTGTCAGTGAGCAGTGACTTGGTAATTCGACCTTAAAAAGAAAAAAAAAAAAAAAAAAAGTGGGAGAAGTGAAAATAAATACATCTGATTTTTAATTGCCTCGGTACAGCAGAGCCTTGAGTGTTGGAATATTTTAACACCTGCACGGCTCAACAGTTGCTTATTGTTAGTGGGTTTTACAGCGGAGCCCGGAACGTCGGCGTGCAGCTGCGGGCGGGCAGGGTTTGCACGAGGGGTTGCGACAAGCCAGCGGGGAACTTCAGAGAGGTGCCATGGGATGTTTCTGGGCTTGCTGGGAAAAGTTGAGGATGGTTCAGCGCGGAAGCGTTTGCAGATGAAGCGAGCTGTGCCTCGGTGCCGCACGCGAGAGCAGCTCTGCTCGGAAGAGTTTGCTGCGTGAGCTGCGCCATCACGCTCTCATGGGTTGGCCATGGGAGCAGAGGCAGTGCCAGAGCCTTCTCCTTCTCCCGTCCCCTTTCTGCTGGGGAGGAGGAAGAGGACGAGCCAGATTCCGTTTCTGTGTGTCAGCAGCAAAGCTGCTGCCTGAACCCCAGCGCCGGCCACCTGTGCCAAACCCACAGCAGCAGAGTTTGGCCTGTGCGTGCTTTGTGCTTGCCGTTGATGTTTAAATTTAAAAAAAAGGAAAAAGAAAGAAAAAAAACCTTTTATCTTGCATCCCTGGAGTGGGGTGGTTTGCCACGCTGCTGCAGGGGCGGGCAGAGGTGGTGTCCCCAAGACGGTGGCTTTCACCAGGGTTCCTTCTCTCTCTGGATGCGGTCCAGAGCCGCTGGAAAGACTCCTGTTGGCTTCAGAGGGCTCTGGATCCTTCCCTTTTTGTCATCCTCTCTGACATATTTAATTAGCTGGGTAAAATTAACGTCAGCAGTTGCAGTTTGTGGGAGGGGGCCAAATGATGCACAAGACCCCCTGTCTTTGTGCTTGCTCGTGACAAAACGCATCCTCTCCCTTCCTCCCCTTCGAGTAGCTTCAAAGGCTGTTGGGTTGGTTGTTGTTTGGTAACTGAGGAGGGTACTTCACCATGCAGCTCAGGAGATCTTGAACAATCTTGTTTAAGGGAGAAAGGGAAAAAAAACCCACACCACGTTTTTTCCAAGCTTTGAATCTCCTGTGCTTCATTTTATTTTATTTTTTTTTTTAAGAGACATTTCTGCTTGAAGTGTTAAAAACACACCCTCGGAGCTGCTGCAGCAAAGCTGATCCTTGGGCATAGTAAAAGGTTTAATGTATTTTTGTAGGATCTCTTTACAAGTCCCACAAGAGAATCCTGCTAGGAAAATTAGAGCTACAAAAAAAGTTTCACATTTCTTTTTTTAAAAAAAAAAAAAAGCAAAACCAAACCCAGTTTCCAGGTATTACCGACTGCATCGTGTTTAACAGGTGAAAGAGACTGTGAAGCCCGACGTGAGTTGCGGGTGCAGTTGCTATCACTGGATAATGTGCCTTCACAGCTTGCCAGGTCTGTGTTGGAGACATGCAACCACATGTGGCTGGTTTCTTTCCTCCCCCATCCTGGAAAAATAAATCCCTACTGTCTAGCCACGGAGGAGTATGCATTTTTTCGCCAGCATATAATCTTTGATATTCCTATAGGAGATGCTAAATATAACCAGTGGTGCGGGTACCTTTGACTAAATAAGCCAAACGTGGTGGAACGGAGCTCCTCCTGGTCTTAGGGGCCACACGGGGGGGATTTATGGGCCAGATTTGAGGATTTTCTGCGCTTTGGCTTGTTCTGGCCAGCTCGACCCATGTGGCATGACAAAGAAGACTCAAATTTGCAGCCTTGTTTGCTTTGCCCTGGGGTAGGGACAGCCACCCACTGCGTGTGGTGGGACAGGAGGTGGCAGTGGTGATGCTGAGGAGGGGGACAGCAGGGTGGCCTGTCGTCGTGGAGGATGGCGATCATTCTGCACCCCACGTCCTGCTCCCCCAGTTGTGCTTGCGGGCAGCGAGTGCTCCAGGAGATGCACTGTGCCCAGCGACCAAGCTCTGGAGCTCTGTATCCTGAGTCTGCAAAGACCTGAGGTGTTTGAGTCCAGGAACAACTGGCCTCTCTTCGTGCATCCTTCTGGGAAACGGGCAGAAGTTGAGCCCTCTGTCCTCCTCGGGTGGCTTGCAGTCGTAGAGCAGGGGAGAACAGAGGTGGCTTGTTTTCTAAAGGCTCCTTTCTGTGTCCCCAGATCTCAGGAGCTGCACCTGAGGACCGAGGCGCATTCCTATCTCTCTGACCTGACCAAGCCGTCGGACTTGGAGTTCATTGAAACCAAGAGACCACGCCTGGATCTGCTGCAGGACCCCTTGATGCGACACTCGCCTCTGCTGCCAGGGAGGGACAGAAGATCTCTCCAAGGTAAGGAGACAACAGCCCAGGATGCTATCTGGGTGTGGGATCTGTGTTTTGGGATGATCTTGGATTGTGTAGAGCTACCTTTGAGGCTCTGAGCTGCTACTGAAATCAGTGTAGATGATGGTTCGTGATGCATCAGATAGTGCTTGGTGGTGTTGGATGGTATTCACTGAGCTGAGGTGACCTCTTTGGAGAAACAGAAGCGTATCAGCTTGCCCCATAACTGTTATAGTCACAGGTTTGCATTCACTGGCCTATTAGATGCATCAGAACAATTTCGAAGCTCCTGTAGGCTGAATTAGGGATGGTCATGTCTGGCTGTTCAGGATGCTGTGCCCTGATTTGATTTTTTACTTGACCTTTCTTCATTTATCACGTCTCTTTCATTTAATATTGGCGTTTGAAGGGTTTGAATTGGTTGCTTTAATATAATCTTCCCCAGGAAAGCCTCCCTTGGCTTAGTCTCATTTAGCAAAGCAAATTGTTTACTTGCAGTTGTCCCCTCCGCACATGCAATAAACGCTGTGAAGAGAAATCCCTTGCGTGCGCGCCTGTTCGGATTTACTTTCATGCTCTGTTGGGGTAAATCTGTATTTGATTTTACTTCGAGCTTGGACGTATTCCTGGTTGGGAAAGTCTTGCTGGGTACAGAGGCTGGGGGCAGCTGTGAGCTCCGAGGGTTGGTGCAGCTGCAGGCTGGGCTTTGGGGCTGTCGGAGCCGGCAGCGAAATGAAGAGGAGGTCGTATCCTTACCCAGGGTGATGGGGATGGTTTGCTGAGTCGTCGTGGGAGCACATGGGAAGAAAACTCTTGCTTGGGAGTGCCAGAATGTTGACATCTCTTATGCGTATGGTACTGGTGGGCCTCACATGAGATCCCTCTGACCTGTCTCAGCTGTGAAGGACGTTTAACTTTAGGGTAATTCAGATGCCAGGTGAGGCCTGGCTGGATCTCCTGGAGGAGGGAGATGCAAAGACTGGCAATTAGGAATGGCCAGTGCTTGCTTCATTGGTGAGCTGATGCTGGGAAGGGATAGAGCAGCTTGTTTTTGTGAGCTGTGTTTGAACTTGGAGACTGTGAGAAATGCACCAGAGCTGTCAGCTTGCTCTCCTTTAGCTCTTGATAGCGTGTTGCCTTGGAAGAGATGTCTCCGAGGTGCTGTGGCTCTTCTGCATCCCATCTTTGCTGCTCCCTCCAAGACACATCGTAACATGGCGATGCTGTGAGCAGGTGGGCGCCAGCTCTGTGTTCCACCACCACCTGGCATGGTGGCTCTGAACCCTGGAGTGTGTTTGGGGGATGCTGGGTTGGGTGGCTAATGGGGAAAAGAAACTGTTGGCCACAAAACAAAAAGTATCCCTCTGCAAAGACATGAGGAAACCAGGATGGCTTTTCTGTCTGCACGTTATTTCCATCAGCAGTTCTGCTCTGCTTCGCACTGGAAAACCATGTGTTGTCTCAGCTATTTGTTTCTAATAGGCAAAGCCGCTCTTGAGGCATTAACCGGTGAGTTCAGGGGCTGCACTTGCTGCTTGGTCTGTGACACATTTCCAAGAATTACATGCGTTTTATGGGGCTTAAACCATTTGTTAATGAAAGAGAGAGAGAGAGAAAGCTGTGAGATACAGTTTTGCAAGACAAGATTATGCTTTTAGTGGAGCCATTTGTAATTTCAGAGTCTGGAAGGAAGAAAAAAAACGTGTTCCAGACTGGTGAGAGTCTCAGTGGAGCTGGAATTAGTCACTCAGAACCAGCAGAGGCTGTTTCCAAAATGGGTTTGATGGAGCTCACTGCAAGACTGGAATGATCTCAGTGAGGTTCAAGTGGTTGGTAGCAGAAGGTGAGTTGGCATGTAGGACCACCACGCTGAAGGTGTGTCTGCCCTTGCAGCTTGGGAAATGGATTAGTAGCAGTCTTTTGGGTTTATTTTTGAGCAGTCATCCTCAGACTAGTCCATAAACTGCTTGGGGGCATTAAGGTCGTGGTAAAGCTCCCGCAGCTGGTCTGTGCATCGCCCTGAACCTCCGTGTGTTGAAGGAGCTGTTCTGGGTGGGCTGGTCCAGAGGAAATGTCAAGAGCTGAGACTGGTCTTTGGCCACAAGCTCTGGACACTTGTGATTCTGGGCTGTTTACATGTATAAAACCGCTTCTTGCATCCGTGCTAAGCCAGCAACAGTTGAATTTGGCACTTGGCTCCAATGGTGTCAATCACTATCTAGAACAGCTGATAAAGACGTTCCCAAGAGGCTCTGCAACTGCCGTCAGCTCCTCTGCCAGGCTGATGGGACCTCCTGGAATGATACGTCATGGAGCAGCCCATCCTGGTGCCTCCTTCCCAGTCTGCACCGTCCCTGCTTCGCTTCTAGCAGCACCATCTTCTTCCTGCTCGCTCAGCGTGCCCTCTGCTCTCGTGGGTTGTTCTGCAGGCCTCCTCCCATCCCGCAAGCGCTCTGCACGGCAGGCGCAGAGCCGAAGGTCTCTGCAAATCTGCGAGCTGTGTGTGGACCGGAGCACGCGGAGGACCCGTGTCCCAGTGACCAGAGCCCGAGAGAGAAATGTTGCTGTTCCATCTGTGCTGCTGACTCAGTGCCTGACGATGCCATTCGATGCTTTCTTTATCTAGGGCAGCTGTGCAAGCCGGGTGAGATGCACCATGTGAGCCGAGTATTACTAAACACGCTGGTGGTTGTTTAGACGGAGTATCCTCGGAGTTGTTTGCTTACCCTTTACCCCATTGCACATTGTTGCAGGCACTGTGTGGGGAGGAGCTCAGTTTACTCATTGGAGTAGCAGCGCTAGGACTGCTTTTCACAGTGATTTTGCAGACTGAGCTAATTTTTGTCCAGCAAAGAGCTTTACAAAAGCCTAAATAGAAAGGGTAGGGGTTTGCTTATATGCTCTGGGTGCCAGCCTGAGTGTCCCAAGGGACGTCACTGTAATGCAGCAGCAATGGGTGTCGTTCAGGCAGTGGGTACCTGTTAGTCTCTACTGGTTTTGGAGCAGCGGTGGAGCTGAGATGCAGAATCAGGTCTGTGGTGGAGTGTGAATTTAGTGTGTCCCTGATCACTGCTGGGTTACATCAGGTTTACCAACCTTCAGCGCAGGGGAGAGAATTAAAACCATTCCTGCACATTTCCAAGGCCTTTGTTTTGGGCCATAATCTGTGCTCTGAACACAGATGAAGTAATTCGTGTGGCAGCTGCTGGTAATGGTTCCGGAGTTTTTTCCCTGAAGAGAAGTGGTTCTCACGTCTTTTATTCCTCACGTACCTTTCCCACATGTGGGGCAAGCTGGGCCCCTCTATCTCGTTAAGGAACACTGAAGCCTTGCTCCGAGCAGGGCTTGGTTTGCACGGAGAAGGCAACGTCTTCTATTAGATCAGCACATTATAGCTGGAGAAAACAGATGCGTTCTTGGGCAGCGTGCCTTTCAAAAGCAGCAGCTTCACAGCTAAATCTCAGTTGGTCTAGTAAAAGATATTACCTTTCCTTACGAACCTCACATTGCTCATATCCGCAAACACTGTTGTTTTTTTTTTTCAAGCCAGGGAGCAGAAGGTTGTTTTCTTGCTTTCCCCCTCTTCAGCATCTTTTTTCCCTGCAAGAGGGATTGCTGTCACGTTGCTGCAGTGCCATGGTCCTGGGCTCCTGCTGCTGGTCGTGGCAAGGAGGGCTCCGGGGAGCTCAGTCTGCTGGGGGAGGATAAATCTCCCCGTGCCCTCTGTGCCAGCGTGGGCTGATGCTGCATCTGAGAAGGTGCTCGTTTGAGCAGGCTGAGAATAACCAGACAAAAGTAAAGCAGGGCTGTTTTTTCCATCACTGCAGGCCTGGATGTGAGATTTGCTGGGAGAGCTGCCGTGATGCAGATTTGCTGGGTGTGCTCCTGGCAGAGATGCAGGAGCTGGTTCCCAGGACCCTCGGTGGCTTCTGCTTTCTTTCCGATAGAGAAGGTCACAGACCTTCATCACATAACAACAGATAGGAGTAAACCAGACGGCTCCAGAGCAGGCCAGCGATGTGTCTGCACGACCCTCTGTCCCTGCGCGTACGTGCGCAGCCGGTGCTGCGGGCGATCCTGCCCCGTAGGGATGCCGAGCGTGGTGCGCCTGGTTGGGCAGCGCCTGCTCTCCCCTCTCCAGAGCTGGAGGTTAGTCCTGCCTCTCCCCTTCCATCTCTTCTTATTCCCGTTACGCTTCCATTTGTTCTTCTTCCCATTTCTGAGACTGCTTTTCCACCACGTACGTGGTTTGCCGCTCCTTCCTATAGGATGTGAGTCAGTCGTGCTCTGCATTTAGTCCCTTTGCAGGGGCTGGCTGGCTGCACTACACGTAGCCTA